AATAATAATAATAATAATAATAACAATAATAAAAACAGCAAAATTCTTAAAATTTATAGCTACATAAAATAGATCGGTGACGAGAACCAGGCTGTCACTGGGCCGACATCTCGTAAAAAAACTTCGCAGCATTTGACGTAGTAGAGCTATCCTGGTCATATGGGCAGAAAGAGTCATCTGTTTACGGCCGGTACGTGTAAACGTTAAAATTTTCCTCATTGGCTTTGATAAATTTGAAGTGAACGTCCATTCAACGAAGATTTGAGTTAATATTCTACAACTTTTCTTTTTCTTTTTTTTCTTTTTTTTTTTCTTGCCCTTATATCGTGATCGATGGTTATTTAGAAAGTAGACTATGATCGCTTATGGTGTTGGGAATTTCAAAACTCCTGCTGAAAACGGCCGAGATGCCAATGTACAATTTACAGGATTTACAAATGTCGGTCTGCCTTATCAGAAAAGCAAACAAGGTAAAAGTAATCCAATGTAATCACGCAAAAGTAATTACATAGCGTTTTGTAGAAACAATTCAAGATACTCAACAGGTTACCACAGCAACGGCATAAGCAGTCATTTGTTTGATGCCATTATTGCAGCAATTAACTGTTGTCAGCCACCTTAATAAGTAAAAAGAGAAATTATAAACACTGGGAACATTGCATTGGGTTTGTTGTTTATTTTCTTCAAATACATACAATAGTGTGCTCAGGTCTTTTCTATTCACATATTTTGACGATAGTTGGTTTTGTTATTGTAATTATTTTAAATGATGGCCAAGTGAAAATCATAATTTAGAATTTCTTGCGATTTATCATCTTACCCGTTTACGTGAGATACTAATTTACCAATCGATGGATAACTTTTTCTCGCCTATAGAATACAAAGATGGGAGTAAAGAAATATTTAAATGATTCCTGTTTAACCTCTGTGTATTATTCACTACAAAAATTCTGTTTGCTTTTTCGGTTGCCGTTAAACGCACGAAAAAGAAAGGGTTGGATAACGTTTCCTTCATTCAAATCTTAATTTGATATCACCATGAACTGCACATTTAATGAAAGCGATATGGGGCAAAAAGGCTTCTGGCTTTACAAGTGATTTATCACAGTTTATCATGAATATCGATAGGACCCTGCACGCGCTCTGATTGGTCAAAAATCCATGTTTTATTAGAGTATAAAACATAGAAAAAGCTTGTTTTATTGTTTTTCGCCACATTACCTCTATATCATAAGACAAATAAAGAAACTCTGATAAAACACTCCGGACATTTGAGAACACTCGAGAAATGTAGAAAACATTCGCCTGCGGCTCGTGTTTTCTACATTTCCCTCGTGTTATCAAATGCCCCTCGTGTTTTATCACAGTGTAATAAACGGCTTAGGCTTCTTTATTTGTTAATTAGTTAGAGCAGATTGCAAGCTTACTTGACTGTAGTCTTATAATCGTGATTGCGACTGCTTAATTTCCAGCCTTTCTTGAGGCTTTCAAATATAGGCTTCTTTAACCTATACAATTTTAAAATGAGACAAGTCTTTAACCTACACAATTTTAAAATGAGACAAGTCTAATTTACCTAGAGGTTGCTGTTTTTTCAGCAGTCTGCTTATTCGCTCATCCGTTCGGAAGGCTGAAACGTTGTTGTTACCACTATGCCTAAGTATGTCTTGTCAATATCTTATCACGTTTATTTTGAGTTCAATCAATATTTGCTCACAACAGTTTTCCTTTGTTTGAACTTTCCTCTAATTCTTGCTTTGAGATATAATATTTGCATAAAAAGTCCAATTCACTTAGCTTGACTGAGACTGTACATAAACTGTATAGCTAAACTTGGCAGGGTTCTGCTCGCTTTATTTACTAGTGAGCATGTAACAATTTAGAAATCTGTTGTTTCTGATAATACAGACATCGTGTTTAATATTTAGTCTTCCTGTTTTTATAAAATAGCTGTCAAAACCACAGTTAGAGAGGTAACGAGTCCATCAATGTGTTTTTGCTTCATGTCGAAGGAATACTCGCATCTGACGCACGAGCGTCTTTTTAGTATAAAGTCACGTTTTCACCCCTGAAAGTCGGTGTTCCTAGCAAGTAATGTTCCACCTGGTGCAGCAATGTCAACAGAATTTTCGGATCCTGAAAACATGTTTACACTTATCTTTACTAAAACAAACATGTTTTTCAAATGCAATATTTTTATGCCCAAGGTGTTTACAGTTTAACCGAGACCTAAGCAAACATTCTGCAATCTTACTTCCGTGGTAATAGATGCTTTGTAAACAAGACTCGGTTGGCAGCCTGAGAATAAAGCTGTGCGTATCATCAACGAAAAAACTGATAAGGTAAGGAATCCAACGTTTGCTCGGTCACTACAAAATTGTCCGCCCAGAAGATTAATGAAACCCTATCCTCTCTGAAAACCGAGGGGAAACCAAACATCTGCTCTGGTGTAGCAAAGAGAGTAAGCACTGAAGATTCTTTGACAGTTTTAAATTTTTAACTTTTGTGCATGTGTTTAACATCTATTTGAACTTTGTTGCGTTGTAAATCGATAACTGTAGGAGATAACTTGCGGATAATTTTGCATGCAAACTGAGGAGAGGATAGCATGTTATATAATCTATTTCCTAACCTACACAGTAGAAATTTTATTATTCTACTCACCCCGTTTTTGTGATGGAATGGTGAAATAAAAAAAAAAAATCGCGCAACTGATAAAATGTTACTTGTTTGGATGCAAAAGGATTTTCTGCATGTCGACGACCCTTGATCCATTTTTTCACGCCCTAGATTCGCCCCTATGGATTTGAAATTGCTTTGCTCTTTATTTTTTTCTCTTGATAAGCATTTATTTGTCGTTACACAATTATATAAGTAAAAGCGAAGATAGATCTATTTCTTATTTTTGTCCTAGCGTGTTCATGTCTTATGTAACGTGTTTCTTATAAGGTACAGATGAGGCAAAACGAGCTTAGTAGTGCATAAATCTAAATGAAATTTTGACCTTGTTCCAAAGTGTATTTTCTAGATTTGCGTATACAGGCTGTTTAGGTTCCTTCGACAGTCAAATAGTCCAATTTTCAGTAACCCTGTCCCGGCAAGCTGGCATGTAGCTGTCGGAATTTCATCCAAAGATTGGCGCAAGTAACTAAGTACACAAAGAAAGAGTTCTTTGACAAGCGGACAGTTATAAATTATGATTGTTTAGTGTCTATACTCGACCAATGAAATCTTTCGAATGACACAAAGTCTTCAATCAATAAAAATTGCCTGACGGTCAAACTTTCTTAAAACTATGAATTTTTCGAATTACTAAGTCGACAGAACTGAAAAAGACGTGAGTAATTTAAGTCTCTCAGGGCTTATGGGACATTTTCAATAGTAGAGTTAAGAACTGCTTTGACATTTCCTGACTAATGTAAAAAAAAAAAATAATAATAATTTAAGTAAACAAAACGGGAGTCTCCTGCTCTGGAGACTCACGGGACGAGGGGGTATTTAAACACACTGGGTTGCAATTGCTTATCAGAGTCGATTATCGACCGATCAAGAGAAATTCCTTCACTGACGGCAAGTTCCTAACTGGTAAAAATCTTCTTTGCGCGGAGAGAATATCTCGATCGATAAAAAAGCACGTGAGTAACTCAAATACATAAAAAAATAGTTTCTCATGAATTTCAATAATTTAGGGTTTATTAGGGGCGGAACGTACAGAACGAGCTTAAATGATGAATGCTGTTCCGGGGATAAAAATTGTTCAACCGGCTGACTGATCAAAATTGCCCCTGATACATTTGAGAGGGCTAGATAATGAGGCAAGACATCTTTTATCGCTCTTATAAATTAAAAGTGACTTTATCTAACATTTATAAATAACTTCAACTTTATGCAATCTTTAGTTTTAGGATGAAGCTCACTGAGTCGCTGGCCTTGTTCATGATTCTCCTAACAGCATTGTTTTGTGAAGGTAAGAGACCAAGAAACCAGTTACAGTAATCCTGGCTTTGTTGCTATCTTACTAACGCAATTTTTAGGAGCTTGGGTTTGAGGGAGCATCATATGCATAAAAATACATGTAGGTAAACATGTTTTCTTGTAAAACAATCATTTGACCATTTATTTTAATACATCATATGCTACGAAAACAAGAAAGTTTTCACTTAAACCCCCACGACCCTGGCATGACATTACTCCTAAACCTCAGGGTAAATCGCACGTATCATGTATGTTATTCTGATTGTTTGTAAAACTGCAGCAGCAGAGCTCTTGGGAATGACGTAAGTCCCAAACCAAACCTTTAAGCAAGTGACAATCGAAGTAGTGGCAGCGAGAGAGTCGACTGGAAACAATTCACAATTTTACGTAAACGTATAATGTGCCTGAGTAATGCTCTTATTTAACACATTTGCTATATTTACCGTTTTTATCTAGGGTCTAATTGAAATTTTCTCTTCCAATACGTTTTTAGAATGTCGTAAATATCACTGTTTCCTCACTGATATTTTAACTTATAATCCATAGCTCGTGCAAGGACGATGCGCCATAACGTAAGTACATGTACATCAATTGCTTTACGATGGAAAGACTGTAATTTTCCATGTAATACCAGCCTCCCTTCTAGTTTTGCCCAGAGAGAGAGAAAAGAAACAGGTGAAATAAAGTGTAAAGAGATCAAAGATTGCCAGTTTTATCTAAGAAACGTTTTACACTCAAGTAAGGCGAGCGAATATTGTCAGAAACGGAGTCATCTGTGAATTTTTTTCAAAAGCGAGATATCAAAGTTACCCAGTACGATAAACCCCAAAGAAAGTCGTACAATTATTCATAATAACTATACAAGCACAGCTAACAAGTGAACACGCCATTTAAGTAAATTGTCCAATAAAATGTGATCCAGCTTCTGCAGCAGAAATACGACGCGCGCCTGAAAGTGAGCCTAATCAGAATAGAGAATTCCGTATAATATTAGCTTCTACTTAAACACTTTAAGAACTACTAGATATGTTCTTGATTTAGGTTATTAATCTATTGTTTTTTTCATTCATTTCTGATGCATGATTGTTTCCCATACAGTCCCTTCACCATCATATGACAGAAAACGACCTGAATTACTTTTTCGGCGTTGATAATCATTTACAAGGTAGGAAAACCGGTTTAATTCTCGCTAAAGTGGTAATGAAGATAGTTTCCATTGTCGTTCATTTCCCCGAAGTTTCATAGTTCAAATTTTTAGGAAGTAAGATGTCTATCTCTCTAACATTCTATGAATGTGCTTCAGAGTGATCGAGATCATGCCTGGGGCAATGATCAAAGTCGCAGAAAGTAACTTGAATAATATGGTTGTCTTTTAGTTAGATTCACTAATGCTAGATTCTTCAAGACGGTTATTTTTCCATCGACTCGCTTTTCTTATTACTGAATATTCATTGCTTGATTTATTTTCTTGTGTTATGTGGTTTGCATTCTTTCTGATGATATTTTGAGAACCCTGTTTTGTCCAAGACCTTAAAGAATATCTAGTCTTTTATCGAGCCCTGAAAAAGGTTTTCTACACCCGGCCTAGTCATAAATTGGTGTTTACCATTTACCCAAAAATTCCCGAAATTTCGGTTACAATGTTAATGTAAGACAATTTTGGCTGGACTGACCGGGAAATGTTTAAATTAAACGGAACTTCTTGAAAGGAAGTCCTAAATTTTTTTCAACGAATTTTTCAAGTGGAAAATGTGCTTACTATTTGCAATTCTTCACCGCCACTGCACCTTGGAATTATGATCCGGCCGAGCTCGTCCTAGTTTCTTCCTGTAAATTGGAGGTTTTTAAGTAAATGGTAAATGACCAATCTGAACGAAATTTACTTTCAGGCATTTTTGCTCACCATTTGTACCAAATGGTAAACAACCATTTTAAATCTGTTTTCCCTGTTTCTGCTGCAGTTCCAGAGTATGATGTAACTAGTCCGTACCAGCTAGATGAAAGAGGTCTTCCAATTCATGACCAACGTCAGCGACGAACGGATGAACTGCGCGAAAACGTGTTTTATAAAGTCCCTGCATTTGGTAGAGAACTGGACTTGAACCTTACATTGAACCGAAAGTTGATGTCACGTAACCTCATCATGGAGACGAGGCGTACTGATGGCACAGTGTCACATGCTAGCGTGCCCAAAAACACATACTATCTTGGTCACGTGGTGTCCGATCCACATTCAATGGTTGCAGTTAGCAATGAAGGAGGACTGGTATGTACATACACTGTATGCAACAATTTCCATCAAAACTTCAATGCCAGTGCACTTTTTAAAGTGCGAACGTTTAGAAAAGAATTGTGATAAACTTTACATTAACTTAAACGATCAGTTTTCCATAACTCATACACTAATGGGTGACACAGTCTATGTGTCGTATTAAAAGTTTTGAAATCCTTACTTGAACATTGTATCAAAACTATTAGTTTTATTTTCATTTTTAAATCACCCTAGACTGGGATGCTAAAACTATCAAGTGATACTTTGTTCATACACCCACTACCGACTCATCTTGCAAAGAGGGCAGCTCCCAATGGACAAAAAGCGACACCTCATTTAATTTACAAGAGGTCTCTTCAGATTCACGTTGATGACCAAAGAACAAAAACAGGTAGGAATCATATTTCTATTTGGTGCGTATGGGAGATGGGTATTTTGGGGGAGTGGAGAGGGTGGGGGCATATCGGTATGGCAGTCTTTGATGCGATAAACGATGATTACAAGTTTCGTTTGCTACGTGCTGAGAACATCCCAGAAAATAAGGAAACTGACTGCAAGAGCGAAACCCCGAGAACAAAACGAGCAACTACACTAGTTTGATACTGCTATTCATTCCATATTAAATCAATCTCTCTACTGTTAAAATAATGAGCAAATGGCGAAAATGCAATAAAGATTAACTCAACAGTTCATTGCTGGCTTAATGCCTTAGCAACTGACGAGGAGTCGAGGTTTATAAATATCCATTATTCTTCTGTAAACCAAAGAAATAGAAATTTGCCTCCGGCAACCTCTCGAATGGCATCATCGTTCATTGTCAAATTTCTAACTCGATTGATTTATGCATACCTTCTGCATCGAAGAAACTGCCGCTATGTACATCTTTTTCCTTAATTTTTTTTTTTTTTTTTCATTCTTGGTCTCTCTTTTTCCTCCTTTCCTCTTTTTGATCGATCCTCTTTTACGGTCGATCCTCTTCGCTCACACCTTAACAGCCTGCCCACTTATTCGTCGCAATTTCACTTTCCCCACCTTGTTACCTTTTTTAGCAAATTACCGTAGAATTCCGAAAGTAACGGCCCCCGTTACGAACTTTCGGATTTAGGAGGCAAAACGGGCCGTTACGTTTGGGTAGCCGTCTTTCGGGCAGCCGTTATGGTTAAAAAACGTTTGTACGGTAACAGTCGTTTCAGACAAAGCGGACATGTAACACAATAAAAAATTCTGTTTATGTCTATTACTAAACAACTACCAACATAAACAAAGCAGACTGTATAAACAAATAAAGGCCCCATTTTTGGTACTGTAGGAAGAAAGGTATGGCGATATTATATCGCAATGTAACTAATACTGATTGAAACGTTATATCAAATATTACATCAAATATAATTCGGTTTTTTATTGCAGTCGAGTAGTAATCTTCACCTGGCCGCTACTTTCGAGTGGGTCGTTACTTTCGGAGGGACCGTTATTTTCCAGATTCAATATGAAAGTAAAAAATTAACGTTATTTTAGGAGAGATCGTTACTTTCAGAATTGTACGGTATATATTCATTACTTTCGATATGCTGAATCACGCAACTCTGGAACTTTCCAAATAAATTACAATAAACATCAAAGACGTTTCAAGAAGTTTCAACATTATTGCCAAGATCCTAAACTTAAATCAGATTCTCGTAATACGTTTGTAGCCATTGTTATGTGAACTTACAGGCAAGACACTACGTAGGGTTTGAAGGAACAAGTCACAGTCTTCGGCTAAAATAAAACATAGCCCAGGCGATTGCCCGACAAAGTTTTATACGAAAAGGCTACGCCCCAAGTTCCAAAACCTGACCATTTATACATCGATTTTTGACAGACAATATGGCCCTTTCATTTACCTTCCATGTAAATGACTCCCCCTTCCCAAGCCCACGGTAGGCACACAACATCCTTTGTCTAGAATCTTGCATTGGTTAGCTCCTTATAAAGCTTACATGACTGCATGATTCAATCAATCAGTCAATCAGTCAGTCAGTCAGTCAGTCAGTCAGTCAGTCAGTCAATCAGTCAGTCAGTCAATCAGTCAGTCAGTCAATCAGTCAGTCAATCAGTCAATCAGTCAGTCAATCAGTCAATCAGTCAATCAGTCAATTAGTCAATCAGTCAATCAGCCAATCAATCAATCAATCAATCATTTATCTAGACAGGCAACGTCTATGAGCCAAAAGTTCGTTCAAAATACGTGCGAGTGAACTTAAGATAAAAGCGCATAAAAGAGAGTCAACCGTAAGATAAGTTTGTGGGCGATATTTTGAAAGGACATTTCAATACCTAAATGAATTTCGTTACCTCAGCTCGTGAAATTCCTACATTTTCATGTTTCTTCAGCCTAAAAAGGTACCACTTTCGGGAGAAGCCTTCTTTTATTGAACGCGTACGCCCCCCTCCCCCCCTCCCCCGTACTCATTCGGGACACATACAAGCCCTAAATAAAATTCGTTTTATAGCATCATACTATTTCAAAGAAGCGTTTGTTTTGCAGATTTGATGAGCACCAATAACAAATCGGACGAAGTTAAGAAAGAAAAGATGAAACTCAAAACAATGGAGGCATTCCTGATGCTCGAGGCTGATACAGCAGCCAGTCTAGAGAGAGAAAATCGCGACCCTCAACAGTTCCTTCTTTTGTTGGGAAATATAGTAAGAAATATAGCAAGAGCCTGTCCGGATTAACTTTGTTAGTGTTGAATATTGACGTCCCTTGCCCATTAAAATATCTTGAAAGTGGCTGGAGAGTGTCCAGATTAGCTGTTAAGAAGATTAGTAGTTTAGCAGTTATGCGCTGTCACTGGCTATTAACTGGAAATTAACCTCCTTATGACTTAAACTTTAAAAAACGTAGAGAAAAGTTTGATCAAGAGCTATCAACTGGTGTCATTCAGATTTTAGACTTAATCGTCATCACTGTCATGACGCATATCATTGTCGATAAGAGTACAGACAACGCTAAACCACATTCGATTTGTTAAATTTCTGGAGCTCTTTTTATTCCTCTTGTCTTTTATGACTTTTATCCAGTGAACATCACGTTGCTAAATTTTCAACATTTTGATATTCTGCATGTTTGTTGTAGATTTCAGGTCTCCTAATGGATCCGAGCATTGGAGATATTCGTATCTCTTACGTAGTTTCGGGAATAATTGTAATCGACAAAAAGGTAAGCCACTGAACGGTTTACTACTTTCCTTGTGCTAATTGCATGGTTAGGATTGGAATCTATAGTTATAGCTCATAATTATTGTCATCATTACTGTCACGGTTTATATCGTGTTACCGTTACAATAATACATTAGTGTTATTGTGACTGTTCCCGTTTAATGTTGGTGCCCGTTTTACTGTCAGTTTTAATGTTTGATATCTTCAACTCCCTCAGGTTTTAGAAGTAGAATACACAGATACCAAAAAGTTATGGATGAAGAAGTTGGCAAATTATTTAAGATCTATTAACAACCCAGACGATGCTAGCCCAGATCATTTTGACGTATGTTCCCTTATATACAGGTAAATAACCACTGAAACAGGAAAAGTGAACTGAGGTAGAATGCCCGAAATTAGAAATCCTTTCATGCTTTTCAGTCAAATATTGAAAAATAGCTCTGCACTCGAGTTTTTTTACGAAAAAATTAGGGAAATTAACTGAATGTAAATGGTGAAAGCGATCGAAAAGTTACAGCGTTACCTTATCTACATCAAGAAATAATATTTCCCCGAAGGGCAGGTACTTACTTACCTGACGGGGAGATGTAGTTCTTCGGACTTCCTCGTAGATTGATACGAGCAATACAGGTGCAGAGCTCAACCACATTTTTAGAAAAGTTTAAGACGTTCCTTGCTTCTCTGAGAGAGTAGTGCGAAGGTGACAAAAGACAGTAATAAGGAGGGGAGAAGTCTGATCCGACTCTGGTTGGGGAACAGTATTGCTGGTATCAGTCTACAAGGAAGTTGGAAGAACTTTATTTCCCCGGCAGGTAAATATCTTCCTTCCGGGGAAATAATGTTTTTTGTTCACCCTCTCTCCGATTAATACTCGCAATACATGTGCGAACTATAAGGGTTGCTGGATCAAGTATCCAAAATCTTGAACATGCAGTAGCTTTAATAACTGTTCCGCTAACTGTAGCATGAGGAATCCAGTAAATCCTGACCTCCAGTAAACTGTAATGACACATAAGTAATGCCCTGGCAAACTCCCCCATTGTCGTTTGATCTCTGCCGATTACCAGTCCGTTGCTACCAGAATAGTCTTCAAAAGTCATCCGCATGCACTGCGACAGAAGTAGAAGCATTCGGAGTGGAGTGGCTGGTGAATTGGCAACGGAATTCAAATGTTGGAAGCGGAGATATCTCTTCGATTCCTGGTGTATCGGGACTGCGTAGTAACCCTTGACCTTGAAGTCGAGCTTCATCATATAATCGCCCTGGTAGAGGAGAGTGCGGGCAGTAGCGAGCCCCTTTATTGTGAGCTTCTCCTTGGGGGAGAAATCTTTTTATTACGTTCAAGTTGATCACAGAACGAAATTCCGCTGTGTTTGATCCCCTCTCCAGCAGAAGGGGTTTAAACGAACCGCCGTGGGCAAGGATGTACTCTGGAAACTGCCCCCTTGGACATGAGAGACTGAATTGCCTCTCTCATCAGTTCTGCCTACTGCCCCTCCTGGACCACTGTTGGTGGAGCTCGCCACTGACATGGGGTCATGACAAAGGGTATCTTGTATTCCGAAACAGCTTGAAGGATCCATTTGTCTATCGAAAAAAGCTTCCGATTCGTTAGGAAAGTTCATTGTCGGTTTGCCGTTTGATTGTGTAGGAGTGAGAGGAGATACGCAGATGGTTCTGCTGTATTTAGCCCCTGACCCTCCAGACTAGTGTCATTTTCCTTTTCAGCCTGCCCTAGCCTGTTGTCCCCGCCTAAACGGGGTTTGGTCACCAAAGGATGACCCTGTGGCTTGTTGCCTTCCTTAGGCTTACAAATCCGTTTGGAGTTTGATGCCTTGCCGTGAAAGTGTGTCGTGTAACTGATGTGCGAAAAAAATGTTTATCTGTTAGTAGGCCCTTGCCAATGCCTGTTTCCCTAGATCAGCATTCTGAAAAGTGTCGTTGCCGCCAAACATTCAGACGTACAATGACGTTTTTATACACGACCCCACAAGCTTCTAGCTTTAAAACTCATCGTGTTGAAATAAAGGCTTCCTATCCCCTATCCTATCCTACGTTGCCTAGCATGGCAAAAGCGTCTTCTAACATTTCCCGCATGACATCAGGATAATTCCATTTTCCCCTTCCTCGTCAGGGGGTGAGTCCAGGTGCATCAGCGCTGATAGTATTGGCCCTGCCACTGTGATAATGGGCCCCTGCTGCTCAGCAAGACCATCGTCAAAGACAAAGACATCTTCGGTCTTCCGCACGGCGTTTGATTTTCGGATTTCTTCCTTCATGCCTGCCTCCATAGTGGGTTCCCGCATGCCGGTGGGAGAATTGGCTGATAACTCCTTCCATTTCGCCTTGGTCAGTGGCTTAGTAGAAGCTTTGGTGGTAAGGTCTAAAAGTTCTGAAGAGAGCTCAACATCTTCCACTGTTGCATAGGAGCGTTCACCCTGATTAGATGGATACGGGGTTTTCTTTACAGTTTGAGAACGAAATGAGTCGGATGCAGCACTCTTGCTTGGAGGTTCTTGCGATGTGATAGACCTCATGAAGAGAGGAACTTTCATAAAATAACAGGGAGAGCTTTTGCAACAGACCACTCTATACGCCTTTCCAACCCGGGTGCCGAGCGACCACAGCCATCTCGGCCGAAGCCGACTTACTCATATTGCCTTGAGAGGACAAAAAGGGCGGTCAGTGGCGCATGCCTTCTTGAAAAAAAAATCGTCAGTTCGAACAAGCACCCACGAAAACATCTCGCTCAATCCGTTGGAAGAGTGACCTTCTTCTGTCAAAACGACGATAAACACAGAAATTAAACCTGAAACAAAGCTTACGTTCTCTGATTTAGAATCATTCATATTGATGACAAAATTGTAGAAAACGTTGCATAAAAAATTCATAAACTGAAGATGTGGTCGACTGAACGAAACAGGAAGCAAGGCACGCCTTGAGCTTTAAACCTTTTTTTTTTTAAAAAATGTGGTACTCATACCGTGTGCGGTCGCGCTCTACACATCTACATGTATTGTGAGTATCAGTCGGAGAGGAGGTGAAGAAGAATTTGACAAGAGGGAAGAGATAAATCAGGTAGTCTGTCCCTTGCCATTTCACAGATATAAGCAGAAAGTACAAAAGCTATTCTTACGCTTGTAAGGAGTCAGCGTGGCCGAGCGGTTAAAGCGCTGGACCTGAAATCCGGAGGTCGCGGGTTCAAGTCCCGCTCTGACCACTAAGCTGGAGTTGTTTCTCGGTAGACTCTTGTTCAACTCCTTGGTCATGCTTGTGAATAGCCAACTGGTCTGCCTCAGGCCAGTTGGGATTTTTAAGCCTATTATAATCAGTGGATATATTTGTTTCTTTCAGTTTAAGTGGCATGCCTGTCAGCTAGCTAGGTGTAGCTAAGTGCATTGACCACTTTAAACAACAACATTTGAACATTTTGAACATTTTGAACATTTGAACAGAAATTCTTAGACTGACCTTGTTTTGTTTTCTTATCCTTTCGCTCAGCATGAGAAGTGGAGTCGGCGGTAAGGAGACATTTTTTCTGTCACTTAATTATATGCCAGTTAAATTTTCTTCGCTGTATTTATTAGCAGCCTTCATTTACATTGAGCCTTCTTCACTTCCTTCGCTCTATGCGTATCTGAATGTTGCTCTCAGTTTTTCATGCACAATTCAATTCCGCCTTGCATGTAGTTTTCGGTTAGTACTTTATCTCTTCTTTATGATTCAGGACTCGCTTCTCTCAGGAGCATGTGCAAGATAGTGGCTGGAAACGTTAACAATATGGTGGGCCTACAAACTGCGCTCGTAATCGCTCACGAAACTGGTCACAAGTATGTCTAACTCTTTCTTGACGTTCAGATGGTGTAAATTTAGTAACATAACAAATGAATTAAAAGCTTATTTTTTCAAAGTTCCTTTACAAGTGCTCCAGACGCTTCACAGCTGTAAAGATATCTCTTTCTTTAATAGAATAATATTAGTTTGTTTCTAACGAAACGTTTACACCCCCTAGCACTTGTACAATCGCTGTAAGTTTTTCTCTGTCTTGATGTATTTCTTTTGCTTTTAGCTTAATTCTCGCAAAACGTGAGGGCAATTTCCATATGCCTTGCGCTACGTATGTTGGACTGAGTTTAAGGGTCTTGGGCCGAGTTTTTAACGGCTCGAAACTGAACTGGTCAAAATGACGCTGGCTACTAGTCAAACATAGCTTCATTCTGTTGTTTTGATCATTTCGTTTTCTAAAAGCACTGCCACTCATCAAATGGACTTTATTTGCAAAAAATTACAGTTGGCTGGATAACAAAAACACGCATTGTTCGCGTTTTTCATACATGTTTTTATTGCCAAGTTATGGAAAAGTAAAATCAAAATCATTGAATAAAAGAATTTAAGAATTTTATCTCCGAATCTCAGGTCTGTCAGATATTCCGTGCTTCAGTTAACCCAGTTCTCAAAAAACTATAAAGTTCAGTCTAGAAACGCTATATTTGGCGGCCGGAAATCAATGAAAACATCTGGAATTTATTTTTACTTCTTAAAGCGATCAGATTCTCAAAGGAATAAACATCCATATGAACACTTTTCCTAAAGAAACCCTAAAGAAATATGAAGTATTCAAACTACTAAAACATGAAGCGTTAAAACTGCTAAAACATGAAGTATTCAAACTGCTAAAACAGGAAGTGTTCAAACTGCTAAAAAATCGAGTGCTCAAGCTGCTAAATTATTAAGTCAGTGTTCCAACTACTAAAACATGAAGTGTTCAAACTGCTAAATCATGAACTGTTCAAACTGCTAAAACATGAAGTGTTTAAAGTGCTAAAATATTAAGTGTTCAAACTACCAAAATATTAAGTACTCAATCTGCTAAAACATAGAGTGTACGTTCAAACTGCCAAAAATTGAAGCTTTGAAACTGCTAAAACATGAAGTGTGGAAACTACCAAATATTAAGTGTTCAAACTGCTAAAACATGAGTTGTTTGAACTGCTAAATTATTAAGTGTTCAAGTGTTGACTTCGCTAAAAATACCAGGATGAATCACTCTTTTCGAGGTACGTGACAGCCTTCCCGCGGCCATCATGTGGTGTGAAAACTTTAATTTATAAATACTGCACTGGCAAACAGAAGGGTGCTATTGAACTAAAAACTCGCACGAAGATCTATATTTTGGAGGTCGTAAAGCCAATAAATATATAAACTCAAGCGATCCCAAGCTAGATTTTTGATATCAGAATTTAATGACGTCAAGTGAAAACAATGAATACGTTAACTACAGTCAACCGCATAAATTTGTATTTGATAATGACGACACACTGTTACAAAAGGCCATGGTTTGTAGCTTGTCTCTTAAAAAATGTTCTTCCAGTTCTTTCAGTTGTCATCAATACAACAGCAAAAATAATGTAGCAATAACGACATAAATGAGTTTCCTTCTTGTTCCCTCTAGCATGGGTGTGCCTCACGATGGAAGCAGGGCCGACTGTCCAGAGGGTACCTACATTATGGCACCCGCACTCCCAGGGGGTCGATCCGCTGAAACTTGGTCTCCGTGCAGTAGCGAAATCATTCAAGATTTCCTGAAGTAAGAAGAATGGGAAGAGAAGAAAGGAGTTATTTTAACTAGCGTTTCCCTTATTTATACCTAATGAGCAATTTTTATGTGTTTTACAGTAGTAACAGATCATCGTGTTTAAATGACAAAGCCCAAAACGAAGCAACAGTGGTTTATAAGGAAATAAAACCGAGAAGTATTCCCGGCAACATAAAATTTGACACACTAGGAGTCAGGACTGCACGTGATACAACAAAGTTGATTGATCTTAAAAAGTTCAACCAGGGGAAACAATTAGAGAGGTTTCCTGGCGAAATCATGAGTGCAGACGATCAATGTGCCTTGCAGTATGGAAAGAACCACAGACAGTGCTACCAAAAAAGGGTAATCATTGTTTGCATTGCTATTGAATAGTTATTCTACAAGTGCAAATTTTTATACCTCATTCAGTTATCTTCAAGTTGTCTTACCCTTTCATTGCAGACTGACTGCGGTAGCTTGTGGTGTACATTGGACGGATACTCATGCTTTAGTCAAACTGCCCCTATCGCAGATGGAACTCCCTGTGGAAGCAGACAGGTAAACTGACTTTTTTAACGTCAGTATTACACTCTATGCAAAAGGAAAAACAAGAGCTAAAATTAGGAAAGGAAAGGAAAAACAATTAAAAATTAGCTTTTCCATCGAAAATTGGCACTTTGAACAGACTGTTTCCAGTTCCATTTTCAAATAGAAAATACATGTTATGTCAAATTTAACCTTCGTGGAAGTACGAGAGGGCGTATTTTAGACCTGGTAGTCAATTTCCTCATTACAAGAACATTGAAACTTTACCGACGAATTGTAGCCAAATATAAAGCAACATCACGCGCTCCTGAAGGCGTGAAAGATCACTTTTTATTTTATGAAGTTGACAAACTTGAAATTTCTTAGATTTCCAATTGATATTTCAAAACCCTCTGGTCTTTGTTTATTGAAAAAGTCACTACAATTGCTCAGAGCTTTCGAAAATGCCTTTCGCTGCGTTAAACGATCATTGCAGCTCTCAACCAATCGGCGTGCAGATTTTCTTTTTCTTTCCGGGATTTGTTTTCTCATTTCATAATTCATATATTATATACATTACAGAATTGTTAGGTTTTGGTACGCGAAAAAATTAAATTAATTAACTAATGAATTGACTAATAAATGAATTACTAAAATAACGTGGTTAAATCCCCGCAGTGGTGCATTAAAGGAGAATGTGTTGACAATGGACGTCCTCATATAAATGGCTGGTGGAGCGAGTGGTCGAACTTTACATCCTGTTCTCGAACGTGTGGTGGAGGAGTACAACACAGAAAACGAACATGCACAAACCCACCGTATGTGTTTACATGCCACTTAAATAATCACATTTATTGTATGGCAAGCTCCGCGAGCGGGCAAGATGAATCAAATCCTGCGCTGTGATTGGCTACCCGAGCGGGCAAGATCAGTCAGTCAGTCAATCAGTCAGTCAGTCAATCAGTCAGTCAGTCAATCAGTCAGTCAATCAGTCAATCAGTCAGTCAATCAGTCAATCAGTCAATCAGTCAATTAGTCAATCAGTCAATCAGCCAATCAATCAATCAATCAATCATTTATCTAGACAGGCAACGTCTATGAGCCAAAAGTTCGTTCAAAATACGTGCGAGTGAACTTAAGATAAAAGCGCATAAAAGAGAGTCAACCGTAAGATAAGTTTGTGGGCGATATTTTGAAAGGACATTTCAATACCTAAATGAATTTCGTTACCTCAGCTCGTGAAATTCCTACATTTTCATGTTTCTTCAGCCTAAAAAGGTACCACTTTCGGGAGAAGCCTTCTTTTATTGAACGCGTACGCCCCCCTCCCCCCCTCCCCCGTACTCATTCGGGACACATACAAGCCCTAAATAAAATTCGTTTTATAGCATCATACTATTTCAAAGAAGCGTTTGTTTTGCAGATTTGATGAGCACCAATAACAAATCGGACGAAGTTAAGAAAGAAAAGATGAAACTCAAAACAATGGAGGCATTCCTGATGCTCGAGGCTGATACAGCAGCCAGTCTAGAGAGAGAAAATCGCGACCCTCAACAGTTCCTTCTTTTGTTGGGAAATATAGTAAGAAATATAGCAAGAGCCTGTCCGGATTAACTTTGTTAGTGTTGAATATTGACGTCCCTTGCCCATTAAAATATCTTGAAAGTGGCTGGAGAGTGTCCAGATTAGCTGTTAAGAAGATTAGTAGTTTAGCAGTTATGCGCTGTCACTGGCTATTAACTGGAAATTAACCTCCTTATGACTTAAACTTTAAAAAACGTAGAGAAAAGTTTGATCAAGAGCTATCAACTGGTGTCATTCAGATTTTAGACTTAATCGTCATCACTGTCATGACGCATATCATTGTCGATAAGAGTACAGACAACGCTAAACCACATTCGATTTGTTAAATTTCTGGAGCTCTTTTTATTCCTCTTGTCTTTTATGACTTTTATCCAGTGAACATCACGTTGCTAAATTTTCAACATTTTGATATTCTGCATGTTTGTTGTAGATTTCAGGTCTCCTAATGGATCCGAGCATTGGAGATATTCGTATCTCTTACGTAGTTTCGGGAATAATTGTAATCGACAAAAAGGTAAGCCACTGAACGGTTTACTACTTTCCTTGTGCTAATTGCATGGTTAGGATTGGAATCTATAGTTATAGCTCATAATTATTGTCATCATTACTGTCACGGTTTATATCGTGTTACCGTTACAATAATACATTAGTGTTATTGTGACTGTTCCCGTTTAATGTTGGTGCCCGTTTTACTGTCAGTTTTAATGTTTGATATCTTCAACTCCCTCAGGTTTTAGAAGTAGAATACACAGATACCAAAAAGTTATGGATGAAGAAGTTGGCAAATTATTTAAGATCTATTAACAACCCAGACGATGCTAGCCCAGATCATTTTGACGTATGTTCCCTTATATACAGGTAAATAACCACTGAAACAGGAAAAGTGAACTGAGGTAGAATGCCCGAAATTAGAAATCCTTTCATGCTTTTCAGTCAAATATTGAAAAATAGCTCTGCACTCGAGTTTTTTTACGAAAAAATTAGGGAAATTAACTGAATGTAAATGGTGAAAGCGATCGAAAAGTTACAGCGTTACCTTATCTACATCAAGAAATAATATTTCCCCGAAGGGCAGGTACTTACTTACCTGACGGGGAGATGTAGTTCTTCGGACTTCCTCGTAGATTGATACGAGCAATACAGGTGCAGAGCTCAACCACATTTTTAGAAAAGTTTAAGACGTTCCTTGCTTCTCTGAGAGAGTAGTGCGAAGGTGACAAAAGACAGTAATAAGGAGGGGAGAAGTCTGATCCGACTCTGGTTGGGGAACAGTATTGCTGGTATCAGTCTACAAGGAAGTTGGAAGAACTTTATTTCCCCGGCAGGTAAATATCTTCCTTCCGGGGAAATAATGTTTTTTGTTCACCCTCTCTCCGATTAATACTCGCAATACATGTGCGAACTATAAGGGTTGCTGGATCAAGTATCCAAAATCTTGAACATGCAGTAGCTTTAATAACTGTTCCGCTAACTGTAGCATGAGGAATCCAGTAAATCCTGACCTCCAGTAAACTGTAATGACACATAAGTAATGCCCTGGCAAACTCCCCCATTGTCGTTTGATCTCTGCCGATTACCAGTCCGTTGCTACCAGAATAGTCTTCAAAAGTCATCCGCATGCACTGCGACAGAAGTAGAAGCATTCGGAGTGGAGTGGCTGGTGAATTGGCAACGGAATTCAAATGTTGGAAGCGGAGATATCTCTTCGATTCCTGGTGTATCGGGACTGCGTAGTAACCCTTGACCTTGAAGTCGAGCTTCATCATATAATCGCCCTGGTAGAGGAGAGTGCGGGCAGTAGCGAGCCCCTTTATTGTGAGCTTCTCCTTGGGGGAGAAATCTTTTTATTACGTTCAAGTTGATCACAGAACGAAATTCCGCTGTGTTTGATCCCCTCTCCAGCAGAAGGGGTTTAAACGAACCGCCGTGGGCAAGGATGTACTCTGGAAACTGCCCCCTTGGACATGAGAGACTGAATTGCCTCTCTCATCAGTTCTGCCTACTGCCCCTCCTGGACCACTGTTGGTGGAGCTCGCCACTGACATGGGGTCATGACAAAGGGTATCTTGTATTCCGAAACAGCTTGAAGGATCCATTTGTCTATCGAAAAAAGCTTCCGATTCGTTAGGAAAGTTCATTGTCGGTTTGCCGTTTGATTGTGTAGGAGTGAGAGGAGATACGCAGATGGTTCTGCTGTATTTAGCCCCTGACCCTCCAGACTAGTGTCATTTTCCTTTTCAGCCTGCCCTAGCCTGTTGTCCCCGCCTAAACGGGGTTTGGTCACCAAAGGATGACCCTGTGGCTTGTTGCCTTCCTTAGGCTTACAAATCCGTTTGGAGTTTGATGCCTTGCCGTGAAAGTGTGTCGTGTAACTGATGTGCGAAAAAAATGTTTATCTGTTAGTAGGCCCTTGCCAATGCCTGTTTCCCTAGATCAGCATTCTGAAAAGTGTCGTTGCCGCCAAACATTCAGACGTACAATGACGTTTTTATACACGACCCCACAAGCTTCTAGCTTTAAAACTCATCGTGTTGAAATAAAGGCTTCCTATCCCCTATCCTATCCTACGTTGCCTAGCATGGCAAAAGCGTCTTCTAACATTTCCCGCATGACATCAGGATAATTCCATTTTCCCCTTCCTCGTCAGGGGGTGAGTCCAGGTGCATCAGCGCTGATAGTATTGGCCCTGCCACTGTGATAATGGGCCCCTGCTGCTCAGCAAGACCATCGTCAAAGACAAAGACATCTTCGGTCTTCCGCACGGCGTTTGATTTTCGGATTTCTTCCTTCATGCCTGCCTCCATAGTGGGTTCCCGCATGCCGGTGGGAGAATTGGCTGATAACTCCTTCCATTTCGCCTTGGTCAGTGGCTTAGTAGAAGCTTTGGTGGTAAGGTCTAAAAGTTCTGAAGAGAGCTCAACATCTTCCACTGTTGCATAGGAGCGTTCACCCTGATTAGATGGATACGGGGTTTTCTTTACAGTTTGAGAACGAAATGAGTCGGATGCAGCACTCTTGCTTGGAGGTTCTTGCGATGTGATAGACCTCATGAAGAGAGGAACTTTCATAAAATAACAGGGAGAGCTTTTGCAACAGACCACTCTATACGCCTTTCCAACCCGGGTGCCGAGCGACCACAGCCATCTCGGCCGAAGCCGACTTACTCATATTGCCTTGAGAGGACAAAAAGGGCGGTCAGTGGCGCATGCCTTCTTGAAAAAAAAATCGTCAGTTCGAACAAGCACCCACGAAAACATCTCGCTCAATCCGTTGGAAGAGTGACCTTCTTCTGTCAAAACGACGATAAACACAGAAATTAAACCTGAAACAAAGCTTACGTTCTCTGATTTAGAATCATTCATATTGATGACAAAATTGTAGAAAACGTTGCATAAAAAATTCATAAACTGAAGATGTGGTCGACTGAACGAAACAGGAAGCAAGGCACGCCTTGAGCTTTAAACCTTTTTTTTTTTAAAAAATGTGGTACTCATACCGTGTGCGGTCGCGCTCTACACATCTACATGTATTGTGAGTATCAGTCGGAGAGGAGGTGAAGAAGAATTTGACAAGAGGGAAGAGATAAATCAGGTAGTCTGTCCCTTGCCATTTCACAGATATAAGCAGAAAGTACAAAAGCTATTCTTACGCTTGTAAGGAGTCAGCGTGGCCGAGCGGTTAAAGCGCTGGACCTGAAATCCGGAGGTCGCGGGTTCAAGTCCCGCTCTGACCACTAAGCTGGAGTTGTTTCTCGGTAGACTCTTGTTCAACTCCTTGGTCATGCTTGTGAATAGCCAACTGGTCTGCCTCAGGCCAGTTGGGATTTTTAAGCCTATTATAATCAGTGGATATATTTGTTTCTTTCAGTTTAAGTGGCATGCCTGTCAGCTAGCTAGGTGTAGCTAAGTGCATTGACCACTTTAAACAACAACATTTGAACATTTTGAACATTTTGAACATTTGAACAGAAATTCTTAGACTGACCTTGTTTTGTTTTCTTATCCTTTCGCTCAGCATGAGAAGTGGAGTCGGCGGTAAGGAGACATTTTTTCTGTCACTTAATTATATGCCAGTTAAATTTTCTTCGCTGTATTTATTAGCAGCCTTCATTTACATTGAGCCTTCTTCACTTCCTTCGCTCTATGCGTATCTGAATGTTGCTCTCAGTTTTTCATGCACAATTCAATTCCGCCTTGCATGTAGTTTTCGGTTAGTACTTTATCTCTTCTTTATGATTCAGGACTCGCTTCTCTCAGGAGCATGTGCAAGATAGTGGCTGGAAACGTTAACAATATGGTGGGCCTACAAACTGCGCTCGTAATCGCTCACGAAACTGGTCACAAGTATGTCTAACTCTTTCTTGACGTTCAGATGGTGTAAATTTAGTAACATAACAAATGAATTAAAAGCTTATTTTTTCAAAGTTCCTTTACAAGTGCTCCAGACGCTTCACAGCTGTAAAGATATCTCTTTCTTTAATAGAATAATATTAGTTTGTTTCTAACGAAACGTTTACACCCCCTAGCACTTGTACAATCGCTGTAAGTTTTTCTCTGTCTTGATGTATTTCTTTTGCTTTTAGCTTAATTCTCGCAAAACGTGAGGGCAATTTCCATATGCCTTGCGCTACGTATGTTGGACTGAGTTTAAGGGTCTTGGGCCGAGTTTTTAACGGCTCGAAACTGAACTGGTCAAAATGACGCTGGCTACTAGTCAAACATAGCTTCATTCTGTTGTTTTGATCATTTCGTTTTCTAAAAGCACTGCCACTCATCAAATGGACTTTATTTGCAAAAAATTACAGTTGGCTGGATAACAAAAACACGCATTGTTCGCGTTTTTCATACATGTTTTTATTGCCAAGTTATGGAAAAGTAAAATCAAAATCATTGAATAAAAGAATTTAAGAATTTTATCTCCGAATCTCAGGTCTGTCAGATATTCCGTGCTTCAGTTAACCCAGTTCTCAAAAAACTATAAAGTTCAGTCTAGAAACGCTATATTTGGCGGCCGGAAATCAATGAAAACATCTGGAATTTATTTTTACTTCTTAAAGCGATCAGATTCTCAAAGGAATAAACATCCATATGAACACTTTTCCTAAAGAAACCCTAAAGAAATATGAAGTATTCAAACTACTAAAACATGAAGCGTTAAAACTGCTAAAACATGAAGTATTCAAACTGCTAAAACAGGAAGTGTTCAAACTGCTAAAAAATCGAGTGCTCAAGCTGCTAAATTATTAAGTCAGTGTTCCAACTACTAAAACATGAAGTGTTCAAACTGCTAAATCATGAACTGTTCAAACTGCTAAAACATGAAGTGTTTAAAGTGCTAAAATATTAAGTGTTCAAACTACCAAAATATTAAGTACTCAATCTGCTAAAACATAGAGTGTACGTTCAAACTGCCAAAAATTGAAGCTTTGAAACTGCTAAAACATGAAGTGTGGAAACTACCAAATATTAAGTGTTCAAACTGCTAAAACATGAGTTGTTTGAACTGCTAAATTATTAAGTGTTCAAGTGTTGACTTCGCTAAAAATACCAGGATGAATCACTCTTTTCGAGGTACGTGACAGCCTTCCCGCGGCCATCATGTGGTGTGAAAACTTTAATTTATAAATACTGCACTGGCAAACAGAAGGGTGCTATTGAACTAAAAACTCGCACGAAGATCTATATTTTGGAGGTCGTAAAGCCAATAAATATATAAACTCAAGCGATCCCAAGCTAGATTTTTGATATCAGAATTTAATGACGTCAAGTGAAAACAATGAATACGTTAACTACAGTCAACCGCATAAATTTGTATTTGATAATGACGACACACTGTTACAAAAGGCCATGGTTTGTAGCTTGTCTCTTAAAAAATGTTCTTCCAGTTCTTTCAGTTGTCATCAATACAACAGCAAAAATAATGTAGCAATAACGACATAAATGAGTTTCCTTCTTGTTCCCTCTAGCATGGGTGTGCCTCACGATGGAAGCAGGGCCGACTGTCCAGAGGGTACCTACATTATGGCACCCGCACTCCCAGGGGGTCGATCCGCTGAAACTTGGTCTCCGTGCAGTAGCGAAATCATTCAAGATTTCCTGAAGTAAGAAGAATGGGAAGAGAAGAAAGGAGTTATTTTAACTAGCGTTTCCCTTATTTATACCTAATGAGCAATTTTTATGTGTTTTACAGTAGTAACAGATCATCGTGTTTAAATGACAAAGCCCAAAACGAAGCAACAGTGGTTTATAAGGAAATAAAACCGAGAAGTATTCCCGGCAACATAAAATTTGACACACTAGGAGTCAGGACTGCACGTGATACAACAAAGTTGATTGATCTTAAAAAGTTCAACCAGGGGAAACAATTAGAGAGGTTTCCTGGCGAAATCATGAGTGCAGACGATCAATGTGCCTTGCAGTATGGAAAGAACCACAGACAGTGCTACCAAAAAAGGGTAATCATTGTTTGCATTGCTATTGAATAGTTATTCTACAAGTGCAAATTTTTATACCTCATTCAGTTATCTTCAAGTTGTCTTACCCTTTCATTGCAGACTGACTGCGGTAGCTTGTGGTGTACATTGGACGGATACTCATGCTTTAGTCAAACTGCCCCTATCGCAGATGGAACTCCCTGTGGAAGCAGACAGGTAAACTGACTTTTTTAACGTCAGTATTACACTCTATGCAAAAGGAAAAACAAGAGCTAAAATTAGGAAAGGAAAGGAAAAACAATTAAAAATTAGCTTTTCCATCGAAAATTGGCACTTTGAACAGACTGTTTCCAGTTCCATTTTCAAATAGAAAATACATGTTATGTCAAATTTAACCTTCGTGGAAGTACGAGAGGGCGTATTTTAGACCTGGTAGTCAATTTCCTCATTACAAGAACATTGAAACTTTACCGACGAATTGTAGCCAAATATAAAGCAACATCACGCGCTCCTGAAGGCGTGAAAGATCACTTTTTATTTTATGAAGTTGACAAACTTGAAATTTCTTAGATTTCCAATTGATATTTCAAAACCCTCTGGTCTTTGTTTATTGAAAAAGTCACTACAATTGCTCAGAGCTTTCGAAAATGCCTTTCGCTGCGTTAAACGATCATTGCAGCTCTCAACCAATCGGCGTGCAGATTTTCTTTTTCTTTCCGGGATTTGTTTTCTCATTTCATAATTCATATATTATATACATTACAGAATTGTTAGGTTTTGGTACGCGAAAAAATTAAATTAATTAACTAATGAATTGACTAATAAATGAATTACTAAAATAACGTGGTTAAATCCCCGCAGTGGTGCATTAAAGGAGAATGTGTTGACAATGGACGTCCTCATATAAATGGCTGGTGGAGCGAGTGGTCGAACTTTACATCCTGTTCTCGAACGTGTGGTGGAGGAGTACAACACAGAAAACGAACATGCACAAACCCACCGTATGTGTTTACATGCCACTTAAATAATCACATTTATTGTATGGCAAGCTCCGCGAGCGGGCAAGATGAATCAAATCCTGCGCTGTGATTGGCTACCCGAGCGGGCAAGATGGGGCTATCTTGCCCGCTCGGGACTACCCGCCGTGTCCTGCAAGAAAAATTTTCCCGAAAGGCATATAATAAATCCTTTATTGACCAAGCTTGTTCGGTCAAGATGGCTGAATATTGGCCTCGCTCTTTTTTTGCGAGTTTATGGACCTCAACTCCGTCTCGGTCCATAAACTCGCAAAAAAAAGAACTTGGCCAATATCCAGCCATCTTGACCTCACACTTGGTCAATAACCCATATATATCACACATTTCATGAAATTTGGTCTTTTCCTCTAGATTTGACTTTTAACTGAGCTGCCAAGGACCTTCTCAGTAATTTATTGACACCATGAGTGCCCTTGTTCAGTAACTAAGTAGATTAAACACTTTCCCTATTTTCGACTTTGGTTGTATGCATTATTTTCTCAATTGTCCTAAATAAGTATCGTATATCAGTCAAATATACATCATCTGTGTATCACAACCAATCATGTGGACAGTAACCCTTGTCGATATTCTATTTATCAACTATTGGTATTTACCTGTAACCAAATGCGGTAGCGTGTCACCATATTATTGTTGTTTCCGTGGCTTTTCACGTGTCTAGTTGGTGTGAAAAAGGTATCATTATCTTTTCTACATATAATTTTCAATCATAAAGGCCATCGAACGGAGGGAAAACATGCGAGGGAAAACCAACAGGACATTGGAGAATTTGTAGCATTCAGGTATGTGTGAATTCTGTTTTTGTTTTCAATAAATATAAAACAATTGATAAGTACTGCTCCTTCCTTTCTGTGATGTATATTTACATCCCTTTTATTTTAAATGCAGTGTCTTTATCTGCTTGAACTCATTCATAAGGAAGACTGGATGCACCTTTAATAGAAGAAAACAATGTTGCACCAGGCTAAACCAGCCAGCACCCAATACGACCATACACATATAATGAGAGTTTACGATCATAATTTAACGGATTGCAAGCTAGAAAGCCTGCAAAAAAAAGGAACAGGGGAGGAGGCAATTTGCGAAAAAATTGTACTCTCCTGTGGGCTCAGTACAAATCCTGACCAGGAAACAATGCATTTGAAAATGCTCATTGCTTTTGTCACAGGCTTGCCCTGGAACCTCGGTAACTAGTTACCGTAATGAACAGTGTGTGAAAGCAAGAGGACCTGGATCATCTGCATTTTACTACGGAAGTGAGTATTGCTGGATATGGAACATCCGTTATGATTACGTTTGCACATGTGGTCGATACAGGCTCTGTTGAATCTGTACAAAGCTTCCCGTATTCTTTTTTAAAAACCATCCCTCTCCGAGGCTTGATTGTCTCCTATTACCTTACTGAGATCATTTAGGAAGTTATCTTGAGACCATTGCACGTACAGAGGCATACAAAGAGTGTTTTTCTTGAAACATCTGTTCTCCATGGTGGCTGGGAAACCGATCAGCACTTCAATTTGTTAACCACACCCTAAATAACTTCCTAAGCAGACGTTCTTTGGGCTCGTTCAAGTTGCGCAAATTGGAAACACGTCTTCTGAAACACGGGGCTATTTATGTAGCCCAATCAGCGCACTTCTCGATCAAGGCAACGAACTTGGGACCCGGAGAACTTTTGCAAGAAACTTGCAGGAGATGGATATCAGCGCGACTTTTCAACGAGTGTTTAGACATTAAAACCGTCGATATAAATCCTTATCAGCGAGAAGCTACAGATTATTTCGTAAAGAAAAAGAAGGACTTCTTCGCGCGCAGACATTCGTTTGGCTAGTTCCTGGCAAAATCTGACAGCCTACGGGGAAGTCTGCTAGCCTGGAACTTGGAAAACGATCGCAAGACACCAAAATACGAATGTGGCATTTCAACGAGTGTGTAGGACATTCACGATATTTCGTTTAAATCTTCCTCGAGAAACTATAGTGTATTTCGCAGTAAAAAAGATTAGGTGTTCGTACGTCTGCGAGCCTCCTCAGACTGGATTAGAATAATTGTGTATTTAGTTTGTTAGACAGTTAGTAGTTCAGTTGAATTCGACGTTACACGCCACAGTATGCCATGCTATATTTATTGCTTCAAGGGAGTCTGGTCAGTTTATGATTTGCTTCTTATTGCACAGTGACCCAGCGCCGATTGGCTCCTAAATAATTTTCTTGTGATCTCCCATTGAACTTTACGAACAAAAGGAAAGGAATATGCTTTTTGTTTCGGCAGACGTTCATGAAGGAAAAAGATTACTTGAGGAGCCCAAATAGCGTCTACGAAGGAGACTACATCCTAAGTCAAAAAGTGGATATTTCCTCAAGGTTGTAATTGCTGGTTGATTGAAACTCTGAATACCATTTCCACAACTCCTCTTTTCTCACTGAAAGTACGTATATGGCCCTTGGAACCACAGCCATCCACTTTTCCCCCCTCCCACCAAAAGTGGGGATATGGCCATGGAGCCACCACCCCCTTCCCTGAGTGTGTTACGTATTTGTTGGTGATTTGCTGAGAAGGAGAAGTTGTGACTTCGTGTAATTTTCTGTCCCTGCAACGTTTCTTGTAATGAGCAGATCCATGCAGCTTGTATTGTAAATTGGGGAACACGGCACAAGGATATGGAATCGTTGCAGACGGCACCAGATGCAAAAAAGACCCCTCTATTTTTGATGTCTGCATCAGAGGCGTTTGTAAGGTAGCGTATTTGAATATTTTGCATTACCGTTATGTGATGATAGAATTACTTAATGGATTACAAGTATGAGAACAATCAAATAACGTAAATTTTAGACTTTTTAACGTATCTAATACAGACCGAGGGCTATAACTGTTTGCTTTAAAACACTAAAATTGGTTTTGCTGTTTGCATATCGAGACAGTTTTCAAGGAGCAATGCCGTACATCATCACATTAAGTTGAAACAAACAACAACAACACCATTGGCTGAAAAAACTTTGATTTTCGTCACCAACTTTAGTAAATTTGGTAATTTCCTATTAACAAAACACATATGTAGAGAGATGAACTTAAAAGGCCAGTTTATTTTTTTTTTATTATTTCAGACTGCTGGCTGCAATCAGGTTTTGGAATCAGATGAAAAAATTGATAGATGTGGAGTGTGTGGGGGGAATGGAAACTCGTGCAAACATGTGAAAGGTGTATACAACAGACAATGGAAGGAAACTGGTAATCTAAACTGATTTTGAGTGTTACTACAAAAGGGTCTACAAAGGTAGTCATTTAACAAATTATGTCTGCTTAAAAGATCAAACCAGCGAAATCAGTAATATCATTAAGGTAACGGCTTGACGTCATTGCTACCCAATAGCACAATTTCTGAAGATGTCCTCGAAGACCAACACAGCTACTTCTCGTTTAGTACGTTTACGTAATAAACGCGAAAAAAGTAAATTCTGATAATAACCTGAAACTACAGTGGCGTTTAAATTTGCCCTTAATAAGATGACAAAGAGAAAAGAAAGTGGATTCTGGTAGTTACAGAAAAATCCTCATCGTCTAAATAGTGCCATGGGCAGAGGTCACTGGCTTCTTATTGTCGCAATACGGATGCCTTATGTCCACCCCATTTTTATCTAAAAATCGAGGCTTTCTGAAGACTGGGTTTCAAGAACAGAGAAGATGAGAAAATCCTTGGCAAGAATTTGTCTCATTCTGGAATTCCATCCCACATTCAGTGAAATTACTAATGAAATCTAAATTCCGAAGTAAAATAAGGAAAGTACTCCTTGATACAGAAGTTCTGTAAACTAACATAGTTTATTAATAATAGTACTCTAGTTTCTTATGTATGTGCAAATTTACTACTCAGATTTCAGATTTTGAGATTTTGTTGTAAATTCTCATTACTTTTTTTCTTTCTTCCTCGCCTCGGCTAGCTCTGTAACTAGTTGCGGGGGCAAGCAATTCTTGCAAATCTCAATAAGAAAATAAAATAAAGTTAAAATTCAATTAAAAGTTTAAAGGTTTCAAAGTGTTATTTTGAATCAGTTTTTACCAGCAAAATAGCACTTGTAACTGGAAATTATAAGCTTTATAGCAAATCTGGTCCGTGTCAGATTGTTTCCGATTTAAACTTTTTGTGCATCGTTTCTCTGGAAATATCTACTGCTTAAAACACAAATTGTGCGAAACCTTATTGTCTTTCCAATAAATATCCGACCAAGGGTGAATTCGTGAGAAGCTGATCGGACATGCAACGGGTATGGTTTAAGAATAACGTTATGGCGACACCTTAAATTGAAGTTAAAACAGGACTATTGACATGATCTATTTATTCCTTTGAAGGAAAGCAGAATGCAGATCTGATTGTTGAGCTTCCCCCTGGAACAATGAAGGCCAAGTTTGTAGAAAAATCGGCAACCTACAACAAGATAGGTGAATAAATAGATTTGACATTAATTGTTAGCGTTTATTAAGACCTGGGAAGGAAGCTTGATGGGGTAAATTACATGTATATAGGCTTTGCGCAAACAACTGAAAAAAAAAAAAAGAGATAGTATTTTTCTGTTCTTTCGTAGCAAGAATTGTTATCGTTTAACGTCCTTTCTTGATTATGAACATGAAAAGAGTTTCAAACGTAAGAATTGTTTTGTCAACAAGCTAAGCTTAACCCTGATGCTTACCCTGACCTTAACTGGTCCCCAGTCTCAGATCAAGATTGTGTTCGTTCCAGCAGTGAATTATTTTGAGCCGTAATGTAAACTGAAGCAAATGAATACAGTTCAGAATATTGCAGGCAATCGTTTATAATCTCATGCATTTTATGTCCGTTTACTAGAGCTCTTTTGCTCTTTTTTTTTTCTCATAAACTGAGTCACCGTGACAAAATATCGTTTTACATTTTGCATAATTAAAGCCGATCCCTTTTCGAGAGAGACGACTGAAATTGAGGCTACTGTATAACAAGACAGTTTTCATTTGGAACTGCTGCAATCTACTCATTATGTTATGACCCTTTCAACCAAGAATGTTTTCTGCAAAAAAACAATATCATTAATTTTTAGGTGTTAAGTCAAAGGACGGCGACTTTGTGATCGATCCTGATAAAAGCGCAAATGTCAAGCTTAGCTACGCTGGAGCTACCATCTTCTACTCAAACAAGAAGAAACGATACGCTGATACACTACAAATAACTGGGCCAACCACTGCAAAACTTAAAATCATGGTAAGGATCACACAAGTAAAATATATCTCAGTTTGGAGGATGATCGATGTAACTTGATCCGTTCTTAATGAGAAGTTTTCTATACAGAAATATAGTTATTGCTTACTGTAGAAAATTCATTTATCAGAGAAATATCTTTTAGTATAGTATACAATTGTGAAGTCGCCCATTTGTTACTGCATTAGCTAAAAAGCAGTTGTTCTCAACAGGCCAGTAGCAAAAATCAATTACAAGACAATGATTTTACTTAACACGTGGAAGAGATACTGAGATACTAACCGTGACCATAAACCCTAACCTCTTGTGGCTATTCCGTACGGGTTCCCATAATTTCAAACATGTTGACGGAGCTCGACCTCTGGCATGTAAGGTACAAGTCAACTGTAAAAGCAAATGGAAAGGAGGAAGATAGCATCTGCTGATACTAAATATGGGGAAAAAACTGACAATGCTAGAATAACAAAAGCAAAAAGCAAAACGTAATCGCCACCCCTCTGTTGACTGCTTAGCCAATCAGATCTCGAGTACACCTTTACTTTTCACTTTTACACATCAACTAATGGCTTCGGTAAATGAAAATCACTACTGCGTATGAATCAATCATCGGTCTTCGCCTCATTCACAAGCGTTTGACTAAGTTTATGTTACAATTACACTAAAAATTACATGATTAAAAAAAATCTGCTCTTAGCAGTTGGCCAAAGAAAACAGAGCGTCGGGACTCTAACTATCTTCAATTCATATCTGTGAAAGAATTTGAAGCCTCATTTTGAAATAACCTTACTGAAATCATAATTAATACAGTCTCAAATAGCTTAATTAAAATGACAGGAACAGAAACAATACACAGGACTATAGGTTGCATCATCAATAGGGAAATTGTCGTCTCGAATCTTAATTTTTCTCTTTAAATTGTGTTTTATTTCTCTTTTGGTATAAATAAAGAGATAGCTACAACGATAACGGTAATTGCATAGTGCTTACATAATACAACTATTAAATTATTTGTTCTTTCAAAACAGTTTATAGCGGTGTATGGAGAGAACACTGGTGTTGAGTACGACCTTTTTTATCATGTTAACCATCATATAAAACTTCAGTACAGATGGATTGTTGGAGATTGGTCAGCGTGTTCAGCTACATGCGCGAGGGGTAAGCAGTTCTCAGCGTGTCTAAAGTTACAATGAACCCTAGAACACCGTCAGCATTTCCAAACAAGAAATGGCGTCAGATACGATTACTCGGCACTAGCTGCAGCCCTCTCGCGCATAAAATAAAAGATAACAGAGAATAATGAGGAAACGCTGGCCTTCATTCTTGGAATACACGCACCACCCTTCTTCACCTCAGACCTGGCTGAGACGTCACAAGAAAGAAAACCGAGTTGTATTTTGTAAATAACACCCTTGAATCGAGGAGAAAGGGCGCTATAGAAATCTATCATCATCATCATCATCATCATCATCAGTATCATCATTATCATCACCATCATCATTATCAATATTATTATTATTATTATTATTATTATTATTAATTGCCTTTTTTAGTTACCTCTGTTACTTTTGCTAGGTATTCAAAGGCGAAAGATTCACTGTGTTCTAATGGAAGACGGCTCACCTGCCAGTGACCAGGCCTGCGATCAAAGCCAGCGGCCAATTGATGAACACGAATGTAACCAGCAGCCTTGTCCCGCAGAGTACGTGTTCTTTAACACATTAATTCTAATTTTTCATTTGTTACTAAAAGCTATTTTTATAATCAGGTCTTAATCTACATCTTCAAGAACTTTCTACATCTCCCGATTATGTACTGTAACTATGTGATAACAAATCATTTCATTTACAATTTAGATGGAAGGTAACCAGTTGGACTCCTTGTTCCAAAACTTGCGGGACTGGTGTTCAGACAAGAAGAATGACGTGTCACCAAAGGATCAGCTTTGTCCAGTACCAGGAAATATCTCCCTCTCACTGTGACTCAAATAAGCCCCCGGGTGTTAGCCAGCTCTCTAAAATTTGCAACAAGATACTTTGCAAGGCAGAATGGAAAATTGAGTCACAGTGGTCAGCGGTAAGAATACAACTTAATTATTTAAGTCGTAAAAAGTATTTTATACAAGTTGCAATTTTTTTTATTACCAAAAATAAAAGTTGATGTAGACATTTATGCTTCTCTCCCGTAGTGTTCCACTCCTTGCGGTCCTGGCTTTCGACAGCGTAAAGTTAGCTGCATTCTGATTGATGAGGATGGAAGACCTACTAAAGTCCCAGAGCAACAATGTTCCATTCTAGAAAAGCCAGCAGACAAGCAAGATTGTGACAGTGAGAGAATATGTCTAAACGGCAAGTATTAAGTAGCGTTCCTTAAGCCACTCCTGCCGTATTCGCAATCTGTGTCAAGGTAGCTTCAATGAAATGACGTCACTAAGAACTAGTTGATCTTGCTTGATGAAACCGACCCGTTGTAAAACTGATAATTCAAGATAATGGAACAGGCTAGGGACATTCACCAGTTCTGACCCATAACATGAGGTGTAAGTAGAATGAGACTGATGCCAACTATTTTCAGGTGGAAAGTACCAATGCTACCCGACAAGCCCTTGTGAGAATGGCGCAGTCTGTATTGAGCAGCCACCTGAAAGCTACAAGTGTGATTGCTTAGAAGGATTTAAAGGCAGCAATTGCGAAGGTATGCCTAATCATTTTTCGCATAGACACTCACAAATTGTTCTGGATAATTTTCCGTTCATAATTGACCACAACATTCAGTGCACTTGATTGGAAATGTTTCTCGAGAAATTAAAAAAAGAATTGGTTATTCTGTGGTTACAACAAATCGACCGTTTAAAGAAACTAGCTACATTTGTAGATAGCGGGATTCGCATTTATATTTCTGCTCTGTGCGTTATTTACAGAATCATCTATCAGTGGTTCAGTCACGTAGATTTAGTTGCTTACTTTGCCAATGCTTATAAGTCAGGTATAACCTCTGATTACGGATCCATTTTTTTTACCCTCGATATAACTAAGTAATTGAACTGGTCGTGATTGTTATCAATGTTGTGTCGTTTTTGTTCGTTTGTGGACAGTGGAGATTGACCCTTGCGATAGTAATCCTTGTCAAAACGGAGGAACTTGCCAACGTGATTCAGAATCGTCACTAGCATATGATTGCAAGTGTACTGAATGGTACAAAGGGAAACACTGTGAGAGTAAGTAGAGCAAAGTAACGATAAATCTACTCTTTTTAAATTCGTGGATGCGCGAAGGGTAGAAACGGGTTTGTTGCGGGGGACTTCGATATGCAAATCTGTCACTCACTCATTCACTCACTCATTCACTCACTCACTCACTCACTAAGGTGTAGACATTGATCAAAACTTAAAAGTTTTTCATGTTGAGTTATCCACGTTCAACCGACATCGAGTTAGGTTTAGATTAAAGTTGCGTTCTTTGTACTTGTCTTGTTTATTTTAGTACATTGATCTGAACTCTGAGTGGGATGTGAAATGCACATAAACTTGAAAAGAAATTCCCAAATACTTGATTTTCATAAGCTTAAATGATTTTTACCCTGTCTTTTGTTTACACTTTTGCTTCCTGATTGAAAAGGTAACAAAGGGAAAGAAAGCCCTTGTGGGCTCGAACACATATTTGTGGGTCGGCAGTTTTGTTTGGATCAACACTGAAAATGCTTGCAAATTAAAAAGAGGCTTCCTATTTTGATATATTTTACGTGCAATAAATATACATGTGGAGACTAGCGGTTCCGCATTGGAAAAGAAGTGCTGTCCCATAAGAAACCTTTACATATATCCTTGAGTGAAATGCAATGAGAAAGGTCTGTAAGATCGTATGAAAAGAAAAAGGTTCCTGAATACATGCAAATTTTCCCAGTTATCTTTTCAACAGACAGACAAGCATCAACATCAAGATCTAGGTTGGGTGGAGGGGTACTCTATGATTTTTTGGGCACGAGTCCTGTCCTTGTTACCTGGATGATGAATTACTTAACACTTAAATCTGCGAAACTACCAATCATTACGAGATTAAATTAAATCAGCCATTTCAGAACAGAAGGAAGATTTGACTGACCTGACATGATAGGACGTTATATGACTGGTTTGTTCCGTTCTTAATTTGGAGCCGTTATCTAGCCAGACACGCCCTTGTTTGACCTGTGCAAATGTAAGAGTATCCCGTAATGAACTAATGTCTCAGTAATGAACCATGTCTGAGGGTCAAGACGCTCGTCATTTTTTTGTTTTTTTGTTTTTACTCTTAAAATACTATCAAGATCTATTTCTTTAAATAGATCTCTGTTGTTTTTTATGGTCGGTACTCGTAACTCTAATATATACAGCCATCCATTCTGCGTGCACCTTCTTCCTATGACTATCAATAAACATTCGTATCATTTTCGTATAAATATTGTGCTTATTATTTAACTTGTAAATGTATTCTGTGGATCGCGGTGTCTTGCTGCTATCCATCATAAGTGCTTTCTGCCTCTGCTGCCGTAGGGAGAAAAGGGTGTAATTAAGTCGCCAAAACACTTGCACGCAAAATCTCGCCAGCTGCCAAGGCTAACCCCCCAGAGTTTACACCACTCACTCTCAAACACGCTTGTGTCCAAACTTTAATCATGTCTTCTTTCATTTGCTTTCAGAGAACATCCTTCCATGCAGTAGTAGTCCTTGTCATAACCACGCTACCTGTATTGACGATCCAAATGATCCAACAAATTTTTTCTGTCAGTGTACAAGGTGGTTGACGGGAAGATACTGTGAAAGTAAGCTCAGTTTTATACAATTTGGGGGCTTTTTCCGTAGCATGTTAATTGATCTAGTTTCTACGAATGCGTTATGTACTGTCAGTCTCACGGAGACGTATAATTGAACTTCTATCAGAAACAAAGGTAGCTAAAGGATACTGAGTTATGGGTAGTGATTTGAGTATGCTATTAGATCAGCTCTTTGTTATACAAATTGACACTTACTTTATTTTACAGTAAAGAAAACTAAGTGCGACGAAGAACCTTGTAAGGATCGAGGATACTGCCTGAGCAATAAAGTGGATCCTTCCTGGTACAAATGCTACTGTCATGATTGGTTTAAAGGAACAAACTGTGAAAGTAAGTTTAAAAAGAGATTGCTAAAATGAAAATCCCATGCTATCAGTAGATATGTAGGTAATTCCTGCAAGACAGTGTTGAAATTATTGAAATATATATTAAAGCCATGCAAGTTCCGATCTACAGGATCAGCAAAGAGAAACAAGAGTCGTCAATGCTTATGCTATCAAGCGCAAAACTGTCTCCAGGTTTTGAAGCGGTAATGCCACGATACAAGCCCCGGGAGCGGGTGGGAGGGTGTACATCAATGGGCTATATAGGTATGTGCGGCCCCAAAGGATATGGTTTTTAGTCGTTTTGGTCATGAATAGGGTATCGATAAGACAGGTATGAACTCCAGGGTAATAACTTAAGGGTCAGGTCTTAAATAGTGTATCACATTTTCGGTCAGGTCATAAATAAGATAGGGAAAATCATAGATTTTGGTCTTAAATACGGTAAGAGCTTTGGGAAGCGGAACGTATAAATCTATAGGTATTTGAGAGCGGATGTTCCCAATGGTGAAACATATCGCGGCAACAGCCAAAAAATAAATTCCGCTTATATTCTCAGGTTTGGTAGGCCTTAGTGTGAAACAAATCACGACATGCTTCGTTTGGCTGAATATCGATTTATTTGCGAGAAAATCGATAATAGCCGAATTCCACCAANTTAATAACAAAATCGCAGTTGAAAGCTCTTCTTCCGTGACGTCGTCCATTTCGCGTGAGGTCTTTATGTTTAAAGTTCTTTATGTTAAATGTTTAAAGGCCGAGTAATTCAACTTGACTTTAATACCAATAGTTTGTCATCCATTTCGTCGTATTTCCGATAACAAGTTGAAAATAGAAAAATTTCGTTAAATCATGTTAAATGCTTGTCTCAGCAACATTTAGAAAAATGAAGGCTCACGTGGAATAGCAAAGATTCGTATTTTTTTCACTTGATCAAAATTACGGTAACAAAAGAAATCAGTTTACTTCTAGACATCCCCAGTGTATCTTCGATTATAACGCTTTGAATGTCAAATCTTTAAGATATGAGTTAGGGATAGATAGTTATAAAGGTGCTCCTTGATTATAAAGAGGCTGAGCTTATTTTTAAAATTAGCTTTTGGCGTAACATTGGGAAAATTAACCACCGCGTGGATATAAGTGAAAACGGCAGGAAATTTACACATACATTTTCCTCCTTCTTTTAGCTCAGATTTTCCCCTGTGATTCAAAGCCGTGCCAAAATGGAGCTGTTTGCAGCAATGACGCCAACAACATCGCAGAGTATCACTGTCAATGTAAAACGTGGTTCACTGGCAAAAACTGTGAAGGTGATAATTGTTACAAAACCAGATTCCTGTCATTCCTTTACATTTGATTCCCTATGTGCAACCATTATCATGCATATTAAAACGATTGCTTTCATATAAATATCAAGTTTGAAACCGAGGAAAATGGCTCTACAATAGATCGTCCCAAGTTTCATTTGGGTGTTCCTCCTGGTGGTAACGGCATTCATACGCGCGAGGATCAACGTCTTGAGACGTAGCGTGGATCAGTCATTCGTATTGTGCTTTGAGCACCTGAGACCCTTTACGCTTGCACTACCTCTCAGCCAGTGCCTCGTGTTATGTTTTTTTAAGCGGACCAGTGGATATCCGCACATGAAACCCACTCCGAGGATGTTGAGTCTGTCAGTTGAAAGTTCTGGTTTGTTCTTTCTCACTTAAAAAGGTTTAAAGGTTTAAAAATGATTTGTCTGTTGAACTTATCTACATCTTCTAACAAGCCGTGGACTAATTTCCCTCTCATCCAGGGACGTTAGTTGCATAACCTACCCCAATTTGGTGCCTGACTTAGAGACTGTAATTTATCCAAAGGAGTTGCAGGGCCCAGAACGACTGCTCTATGGTTACGTTGTTATTTTTTTTTCAATTTTGCCAACAGTGCAACTGACTGCTTGTGATAGTGATCCTTGTCTCAACGGTGGATATTGTGAAAGTGACCCCCAAACTCCTGAGTTATACGAGTGTCGCTGTGGAGATTGGTTCAAAGGAGCCAACTGCCAAGGTGGGTAAATATTAAACCTGGTATATATAAACAAGGTACTGAACACTCCTTCAGCTATAGGTACCAGGTATCATGAAAGTGAAAGACCTACTGATCTCAAAGATCGGGTTCCACGACTGTCTTCGGATTGTCTTCTTGAAATCATTCTTTCTGAATATTAAATAATTTAGAAATAACTTATCTTAGGTAATCTGCAATTGATAAGCGTTCCCTTCAGGAGGCTTGCATACTCCTGAATGGCAATGGAGATGACCAACCAGAATGAGCGCTGATACTACGACTCGTTCAACTCGTGTAACTCGTGTGATCAAAACTCAGCTTTACCAGTTTTAATATCTAAGCATTGAAATAGAAATAGCAGTAGTAAGCATTAGTAATATTAAAAAAGAGACAATTATTTATGAACTGTGATATAATCATAATTAATAATTAATTGGTATCTCTGAACTTAATTCTCAGCTCGGATATTTCCCTGCGATGTCAAACCTTGTTTTAATGGAGGAACCTGTAGAAATGATGAAATGGATATATCCGTGTACCACTGCGATTGTACAGACGGTTACTTTGGAAAGAATTGCCAAGGTAATAAAAAAGAACCAGCTGAGAACTTAATTTGAGCTTTCTTTCAGTAACATCAGTGTAGCTTCCTATATCCATATATGCAGTAAGGGACTTTCAGACCCCTAAGTTACGGAGGTCGTCCAGTTATTGAGTTAAATGCCAGCGGTGTGCTTAAGCACAGTCTGCTCTGAGAAGCTCACAGAGTCAACCAAGAAACGACACTTCTCAAAAAATGCCGCTTTACTGAACAAGACTAATGGTATAGACATAAAACATTTTAAACTTTTGAAAGATTGGCCCGGGGTCAAGACTAGAGCCACGCATAATTACAGAGTTCCTTTTTTTTCCTATTCTAGTCCCATCTTACATCGAAATTGGTTGCTTTGGGTTTTCTAAATCAATATTGAAAGACGTTCTTGCCAATCACAAAAATGATTTTGATCCAGCGAAAGTTAAAACGTACATTAAGGAATGCGGGGAGCTAGCATTCCAGAAGGGTTACAGTCATTTTGCTCTGGGCCTTAACGGCAATTGCCTGTCAAGTGAGCATGCTGAGAAAGAGTACTTCGTGAAAAAAGGCACCAAGCCACAAAACTGCAAGGATGGTATTGGAAGCAAGTCTTCAATCGATGTTTATACCTTTGGTGAGTCAATAAATACCACTGTAATAGTATCAAAGAAGTTGTTCGCCATATACAGTATTAAATTAGTGATAATGATAGGTAAACTACCCACTGAAGTTTATTCTAGCTCAACATAGGCCAAGAAGGGTATATTTATGTTTGAAGCTTTGAAGTTAAAAAGCAAATTGGTACTTGTGTCCATTCTGGAACAGCTTCCGGTAAGAGGAATCGTAAATTCCGGCTACATATTTAATAAAAAAGAGAGATTGAAAGCATTGAACTATCTTGGAATGACTGGAATAGTTTGGAAATGTTGTACGTTCTTTGTATCTGGTTGCTATAACCCAGTGGCTGACTACGAAAAAACTTAGTGTTGCGCAAGCGTGGTTTTGGTTCACTGTTAACAAAACGGCATTAAACCAAAATATTAAGTCAGTTCCATTGTCGATATTTAATAATTTAGAAAATACCAGCCACTCGGTCATAGTTTAAAAACAAAAAACACCAATTATTGGCCACAAAATATGCAATAAATAAAACAGTCAATAAAATTCTCTTAGTTACGTTACGTGCTCGTTAATTTGCACTGAGTGTTAAACACTAAAGACAAATTCTACAAGCTCATGGCCAATCACAAAGAAATCTTATAACAAATATAATAATCAGTAAGACCTCTTCCGATGCGCGGAGGCGTGGGGGTAGGGGGGGGGGGCGCAACAAATTGTTAAAAGGGGACGCTCTGCACAGAGGTCCAATACCTTCCCCTAATATATATTATTTTTGACAAGAACAGTAAGCCTTTCATATACCTTACTTAGAAATGTTCCCCCTTTCAAATACCTACAGAACACTTTCATCGAACCTTAGAAATGTCCTGCAGAAATCTTTCTACCCAAACCAGGTCCACCAGAAAATTTCTACTCTAAAAAAAAATCCCCCAACTGTTAATTTTAAGCTCAAAAAAGGTCTTCGTGTTCTTTGAACCTCCTTAGCCACTAATATGCCTGTACGAGAAATTTTCAAAGGCCCTTCTAAATAACTAAATGATAGGGTTTTCCTACTCTTTTCTACATTTCAACTCGTGAAAACCTCAAGCACCTTTGACATACTTCCAGCTTGAAAAAGGACCTCTTTCGGGCGGAGCCTCCCCCATAGTCCAATCCAAGTTGCAACTCCTCTGAATTCTTATGACCATCCAGTTATTTGTCACATTCAACAGCATGCAGTCCTATTACAGATAGGAGTTGCATGACGGATGTTGTCAATGCTACATAAGTCTCACGATAAATCTCAATTCTTTTTTAGAACATGTACCAAAATTTGTTGCTCAAGGTTGTTTTGTTGAAAAAAGCAAGGGGGCGAAGTTGTTGAAAGTCAAATACGCCAGTTTCTATAGCAACTCAGACCCGAAGGCAACCGTTGTGTACTGTTCTACCTTAGCTCGGGACATGAGCTACGAGTTTTTCGCTGTGCAGAATGAAGTGGAATGTTGGACCAGTAAAGACATTGCGAAGACGTACAACAAGTATGGAAAATCGGAAAATTGTGTTGGTGGAGTTGGCAAAGTGTTAGCAAACTTTGTGTATCGTCTGCAGCCTTCGTATCCTTATCCTACTGGTTGCGATAGTGATCCGTGCCAGAACAATGGGTTTTGTGTCGTGAACAAGGATTATAAACTACAGTACACATGTGAATGTCAAGAGATGTTCATCGGTAAAAACTGTGAAGGTTAGCATAAAAATGAACGTGTTGAACTAAACAGAACTACTCTTAACCGATAACTCTGTTTTTAAACTTTATTACTTCCCCAAATTCCGTCAATATAATATTGTTGTCTCTGTCCTTTATTTGGGGACAACATACAGTTAGCGTTTTCTATAAGGAATAGATGATAGAGAGAAACTATCAGCATGGATAGCAGTCTTATCTCAATCGTATAGACGTTCAAATCTAAGATTTATGTACAAATCTAAGATTTCTTTATTATGTACAAAATACATAATCCTCATTGGATTTCAATTCCGAATCGTTCATATCAGTATTTTTCAATGATTGTTTCAATGGTACTTAATTAGTATTAAGTTTTCTTATAATGAGCATATGAGTTAATAATAATAATAATAATAATAATAATGATAATAATAATAATATCAATAATCATAATAATAATAACAACAACAATAACTTATTAATTTATATTGCGCTTTTTAACAGTCAATGATCAAAAGTGCAATATGTACATAAACTAAATTTAACAATAACGAAGTAATTTAAGCGATAAAGGCTAAAAGTTAACTTAAAAAGATATGTTTTAAGACAAGATTTAAAAGTTAAAATAGAATCAATATTGCGCAGGCTTGCTGGGAGCGCAGCTACACTAAAAGATCTATCACCAAAAGACTTTTTTCATTTTCGCTGCTGGATGTGATAGAATAGTGCCTCAATTAATTAAATCGCTAATATCAGCTGGTGCCATAACATTTAGTGCTTTAAAAGTTAAAAGTAAAATTTTAAAATATATTCTGTAACAGTGTAATTCTTGCAAAGTATGTTTTAAGAAGTTTAGCCGTTGAATCAGGAGCCCAGATTATGGCTCCTAGGTGAACAGAATATCAAGAGGGAACGTCATAGTTTGCACTTAAAGGAAATCAAACCAGCTTTTGGACAATGTCCAAAAGTCACAAGGCTTTTGCATTGTAATGCCTGCTACTGAATTTTTNTTAAAAAAAAAAGTTGTTTAACCATGACGGGTTTGTTTAAAATTTATTGTCTAGTTCAAACCTTTCCGTGTGACAGCCAACCTTGTTTGAATGGAGCAATTTGTGCAAACGATGTCAAAGATGTAACAAAATACCACTGCAAATGCACCAGCGACTACAGCGGAGTCAACTGCCAAGGTAAACCGGGCAATGCTTACGTGTTTGTTCTCGTTAAGGTGGTCTTCGCGGTCAAGAATGAGCTTTTGGAGGCCACAATAGTTACATACATACATACATACTTTATTTGCAACTCCCCAAAGGGGCTTTTCAGTTACAAAAGGAATAAAAAAGATAAAAATAAATCAATTAAAATGAATAAACAAACTGGGAAAGGAGTCTAAAATTAATTACAGTATTAAAGATTTAAAAATTTACAAAGTTTAAAATTGAATATTAAGAATTTACATTATTAACATTTAATGTTAATAGTTAATGTTTAACTACCCCCTAAGTTTTGTAAAGTTGTGTTCATCACCATAACTTATTGGCTAATGCATAGTTCGAGAAGCATGGAATTAATTTCATCCTGTCCATAAGCAAGTTGTCCAGGAAAAAAAAAAAAAAAGAAAACAGTGTTCTGTTTTTTATCTTGAAAATGGGGAAAAGTTAACTAAAATTAGCAGTTAGCTAAACAAAGCTGAACAAAGAGTTTCCAGAAATCTGATTGGTTGAGCGATTCCTGGTATGACTAGGAGCCATAATCGGAACATGGCTTCCGATATGATGTTTTATTAAATTCTCAACCTCGGATAATTCAGTTCTGGTTTTCTGATTGGTTCACTGTATCTCGGTTATCAGCCGTTATACCTGCATTTGACCTTATATGGAAATGAATGCGGCAAATGTCGTTCGGCGTAAAATTTTTTGCGGGAAGCCAAGTTTTGCCGGCGAGAAAATGGGTGAAAAAAAAAAAAGAAAAGAAAGGGAAAAAAAAAAGCGATTCAGCGAGCTGTCTACACAAGAAAATACGGCCAATGCCGTCCCAGTAACAGCAAAAAAGCCACAAAGTTTGGGATGAAATTCGCGCTCCTGGTCGTGCTCCGCGCTCGTGTATCACGTTTCGTTCTAGCGTTTTGCTCTCTGCCCCGCTAATCCGCCTGTTCTTCAGGCTACTCATTCTTAGACGATAATGACAACGTTAACTGTGAATGAAGTCAACAACGATAAAACAAAGGTATCGGATGAATTTATTTTTCGTAGTGTTTCGCTTGTTTGTTTTACTGCCGAAATCGATGAGTAAATTGATTCACAATATCGATGTACATGTAAGCTTGTTATTAGAACAACAGCTGCATAGGTGCTTTTATGTTTTACTCCGTTATTCTCTTTGTTCAGCTCTGATATTGTATTAAACAATTATTCGCCTCAGGCTCAGTGAGAATTGGTGAATATTCACCAATGTTCACTTCGCCTTCGGCGAAAATTTGTTAAATACTAACAAATGTAAACTACATAACGGAGCAAACATTTCATAAATTGAAAATTGTAAAGGTTTACCACCCTCATAATTGTGTTGTTGGCCGACATTCTCCAAGCACGTGAATGAGCTACACGAGAAATTTTGCCTGTGAGACACACGCTAGGCAACAGTATTACATAACTATGATACTTTTTTACAATTTCCTCATTTTCTGACCTAGGATTAATTCATTAATTCATTCATTAATTCATTCAATCGATCATTCATTAATACGTTTATCTCATTCCCAGTACCTTCGTTCAGGCAAATCGCCTGCTTCAAATACTCTAAAAGCCTTTCAGTCCTTGGCGACTTCAGGAATGATTTAGATTGGAAGGCAGCGGACGCCACTGTGGAGAAATGCGCCGAACTGGCATTTGATAAGGAATACAAACATTTCACACTTGGAAATAACGGATTGTGTCTCTCTGGAGAAGATATCAGTCAACGTTACTATGCGGGAGGAGGGATGGGAGCCAACAAGTGTAAGCAGGGCATTGGACTTAGCGGCGCCATGTACGCTTACACCTTTGGTAAGGGATTCAATTTAACTAATAAATTAAACTAATAAATTAAACCTTTAGTAAAAAGTGCTCAACTTTGGTTCCTACTTTAACCCTGCAATATCCGTCGCATTTAGTTGAAATGATAAACACAACAGCCACTAAATACTTGTCAACTAATTTTTTTCTCCACTGTAAAGTCGGAAAACTGGAACATGCATTAAGGGATCGGGTCAACGTGTTTCATTAATATTGCTCAGAGGTAAGGGGAGGATAATGTTGTGCGAAAACTGAAGTGTTTCAACAATTGTGACGAAGATTGTCTGAATTATTGTTGGTTTAAAATACTCGCAAAATATTTATTAAGAAATTTGCTAATTTTGACCCACCTCAACCCCCTCAATTTACCTCAGATGCTCAAGAAACTGAATAAGAATATTATGTTGTGGTCTTTTTTTTCAAGGTGCAACCTACTACTTCAACAAAAATAAAGGTTTCAGTCAATGTATTATTAAATATTATCAGGAGCCATAATCGGGGACGGAGACCGTAAGCGCGCGCCATTTCTAGTATTGGGGCTGTCCCTATGATATGGGACAATTTTTCTATTTTTAGNGAGCGAAAGAAATCTGTGTCAAGGTTTGTTGACAATTGAAAACACCGACTCGGACTTGAAAGTGCACGCGCTGCGCTATGCAAATGAGCTACTTGTACGCGTCAGTTTCCTTTCAAAAACTTTTGCAACTCGCCAAACAAACAGAAGCAATAAGAAACTATCAAACCAGGGTTTGGTTATGATTAAGCACTGTTTGGGAAACTCACAAATTAACTCGATACCAGAGTATAGAGTTTTCTTATATAACTTTTCCTTATAGAACAAGCGCAAAAGCTTACGCGTACAACTAGCGCGAGCATTCATTTACAGTGCGAAATCGAAGTCATGTTTTCGACCCTAAAAAACTCACCTTTTCCATGAGCTCAGAGCATAAAACTACATACAAGAGCCCTGGTTCTTATTCCCTGCCTAATTCCCTGCCATCGCTGTGAAAAATCTGCAAGAGAATCTCGCAACTCTCACCATTTGATCACGCAACGTGATAACATCCACGCGAGAGCCCCTGACATGTGCGTGGATCCGCGCGGATATATGACGTCAGGATGGCGCAATTTGTTCTAAAAATAGAAAAATTGTCCCATATCATTGGTGCGCGCGGATCCCAAGACTTACGGTCTCCGTCCCCGATTATGGCTCCCCATACTATTCAGCTTTCGTTTCACGGGTCAATTTGTCAGCAAAACATTGCCATTCTTGATAAGAGCTTCTTTCAAATAGAGTACTTTTGGGGCCCATTTACCCTCTAACAGAAACGTTTGGACTCAGTATGTGTAGTGCAGACGTGAGTTATGTTCAAGGCGGCGAATCAGATGAGAGTTATTGTCTCAGTAGTTATACAATCAAAACTATAATGTACGCGCGTTGTGCTGTGTGAAACCAACATGTAACGGTCGGTCAAGTAGATTAAATACGGATTCTTTTATTTAACCGCCACTCTGCTGCAGGCAAGTGTCGGTCCACAGTTTACAAAGTGCTGTTCCTTATTATGTCGTCATACAGCACGTCCTCAAATCAAATCTTCTAGGCAAACAAAATTACATAAGATTGTATGTTTTGTTATGCTCTTCAACTTGTATGTAATGAGTTGTCAAAGGTTCACCAATGGTAAAGAGTAAAAAAAGACGTAATTAATTGACAATCTTTTCTTTAACAAGAGTTGATCGATGACATAAACATTGAAAAACGCTAAAATCTTGGGACTTTATGTTACTTTAAATGCCGAGTAGAGTGCAGTTACCAAAACTGATGACCATTCTATTGATATAGTGTCAGCAGCGATGATTGCATTTCAAAAGACCGGATGTACCGGCAATTCCCGGCAATGAGATCTTTCTCAAGCAAGCTTTCAAGAGAAGGAAATTCGTATTTGCAAGTTTTGTCCTGTTAGTTTTACAAGCTCTCAAAAGTAAATTGTTAGGGGGAAAACATTAGGGTCTACAAACCCGTGTCCGGGCCTCCTTAAGCTGATGTGACAGTAGCTTGGAAATTTTACGTACAACAAATAATTTTCTTGCTCATTTTATTTTTAGAGGACGTCCCCAAGTTTAGTGCTGTTGGATGCTACAAAGAAAACAAAGGTTCCAAGAGGCTCGTGAAGAGAAAGTATGCGTCTTTTGTGAGTCAGAAAAATGCTGCAAATCCTGAAGCTACCATCATGCAATGCGCGTTTGTTGCACGTGATATGAAAATAGAGTATTTCGCGCTGCAAAACTATGGTGAGTGCTGGACAGATGATACTTTGGGGAAAGCGTACGAGACATACGCAAAAGCTGACGAAAGCAGTTGCAAGGATGGGATCGGCGGATTTCTAACCAACTTTGTTTATCACTTGATGTAAGTTCATGGTAACACACAAAAAATATTATATTTTGAGCAGGAGCCATAATCGGGGACGGAGATCGTAAGTCTAACTTGGTCAGCGATATAAAGCGGGACATAACTAAATTCGGCACTGTCTTTTTTCACTCAAACTGGAGCAGTTTACGACGAAAATGCTGAAGCAAAATTCCAACATGAACCTATTGATTTGTGGGCCAAAAGCATCAAACATTTCGGGAATTTCGGACGCCATTTCCCCGCGCTATATCCGCAAAAATCCACGCAGCATGTACGCACGTGTGCCGCACATGATGGCGCAATTTGTTCTAAAAATAGAAAAATTGTCCCATATCATAGGGACAGCCCCAATGCTAGAAATAGCGCGCGCTTACGGTCTCCGTCCCCGATTATGGCTCCTGATTTTGAGGTAACGCAGCCGACTTTTGCATCACATGTATAATGTTGGTTTTAGAATGTTATCTTTCCTTAGAATGTTTTCTTCCCTAAAATGGCCATGTGATGATGGCTATGATAGATCTTCTCTTTTCTTTAACAACTACCTGTATTTCACACACTCCACTGTGAAATAGAAAATAAGACGCGCTCTCAAGATCTCGCTTAACTACACATGGCATCCTGTGATTGATATAAAGGCCATGCATTACTGGTGGAAAGTAACTTTTCAAAGGCAGCGAATTTTGCTACTACAACAACGCACACTTATGGATAGACAGTCACATAAGAAAATTTCTCTCCCATAACTTAAATTGTTCACTTTAATCAATAAAACCTATTTATTCATCTTTTATTCTCTTACATTAATATCAGACTCTCTCCTTTTTCTAGGATTTAGTGGCGGACTGCTCGTCAAGACCTCAAGTCAAGCATCGCAAAAGTTTCACAAAGCTAAATAGTTTTTTTTTTTTTTTGCCGTTTGATCGTAAAGTTAGACGTGTTGGGAAGTTTTAAGTTAGGCCACTTCCTGTGAATAGTTTTTACTTCGTTAGCTACTTTGGCTATGATAAGTAACTTAAGGTCTAGATAGCAGCAGACACGTAAAGATTTTAAGGAAAACGACCAATTTTTTTAAGTTTAAAAGACATGTTTCGACATAACTTCTGTCATCTTCAGTTGAATGAATGATTACAAAGCAAGTTGAATAATAAGTAGACAAAAATGCTAATTAAGACAAATAGTAACAACAGAACGTGA